AGAGAGAGAGAGAGAGAGAGAGAGAGAGAGAGAGAGAGAGAGAGAGAGAGAGAGAGAGAGAGAGAGAGAGAGAGAGAGAGAGTTGCTGGCTCTATGTATGTGATGGCGAAAGAACTGAAACCTTCTTCTCTCTCTTTTATTGTCTGCGATATGAAGGTTATATGTGGGTCGGATCATCCGCGGAGAGAGACGAAATGTCCGGGTTATTCTCAAAGTGAGTCTGCCACTGCCATCCTTGGAGTAATTCTTATATTATGTTGCAGTTATACATGCCTGAAGGCAGGCATGTGGGAAAAAAAGATTGTTTTTGTTTTTTTTTGTCTTTCATGTATGTGCAAGCATGAGTGCACTGTTTGATGAGATCGGGTGATATGCATGGCCAAGCATAAGTGCAGACTTGGTGAGAAGAAGAGGTGCAACTGTTTCATGAGCTCGGTCAAAAGTCTGCATTGTCCCTATGCTGCATGAATGCACCTGTGTAAAGGCTGTGTTTGGTAGACATGTAGTGAAGAAAAGGATGCTACATCGAGTGTTTCTAGCTTATGTCAAACCGGTGAATAAGGAGGCTAGCAAGAGTGACAAAGTATCACACATGATCATGTCACTGTTAAAAGAGTTTGCAGATTTAGAGGAGGCACACAGTGGACTACTAGAGAGAGCGAGATCAAGCATGGAATCGAGATTGAGCCCGAAAGTAAGACCCCAAAGGGATCAATCTAGAAGATTTCTCGTAAAGAACTAGAGGCAAAAACAATTAGATGAATCGATAGAGAAGGGGTGGATAAAGCCTAGCTCCTCGCTGTATGGTGCACCTATGCTATTCGTTCCCAAGAAAGAGGGCGAACTAAAGATGTGTATAGGCTACGAAGGATCAAATGCCATTACTGTGAAAAATGTTTGACTGCTGCCAATAATAGATGATTTGTTAGACAGACTGCATGGATGAATGTACTGTTCAAAAACCAACTTCAAATCAGGGCATCACTAGATAGAAGTTGAACCTTAAACCAGCAGTACACGCCCGCAGCCTTGTCGAGAAAAAATTCATCGCCTAGGAGAATTTCGGGAGGCTCGGGGCTAGTGGGCCGGAATGGCTGACGGCGCCAGAAAGCAAAAAAAGAAAAGTGTGCCCCTGGCAGTTCGGCAAAGATTGGCGCGCGGTGGAAGGCCACCAGTCCCGGGTGTGCTGGTGGTTTAAGACTAGAGACTGCATGTGGGACCCAATATGGCACTACGAGCTTAGAGTGATGCCCTTTGGATTAACTAATGCCTCTACTATATTTCAGAGATGCATGAATGATATGTTTAGGGAATGGCTTGACCACTTTGTAGTGGTGTTCTTAGATGATATATTTGTGTTCAGCAAAACGGTAGAAGAACATAAGGAGCATCTGCATAAAGTTTTCGGTGAGTTGAGGGAGAGTAAGCTCAAAGTGAATCTGAAGAATTGTGAGTGGGCCAAACAGCAGGTGCTGCAGGTGCCCCAAGACAAGGCCGAAGTGTGTGGAATTAGCGCAATAACTTGGAAGTTTCGTCACAAATGGTTGCCATTCTAAGTTAACCTTTGAGTGACGTAAAACAATAGGGGACAAGACTGTTTACTCAGATCACGTAGGGGAATGACGTGGCGGTCTGACCAATTCCTTGTTTTCCTAGGAAGAGAATAAGTCAAAGGAGACTTGGAGTTTTTTCCGATTGTGCATGTCTCCTAAGTTATCAGAGGAAATATTTTTAGGAAGTCAAGGGCGAGACTAGTGGCTACCTACTCCAATTTCAATTACCCTACACATCTATCTGAGTTATCTATCAGTGAAGGATAGAGGAAGGGATTAATGCTCCAAGCGCTGACTCAAAAACGCTTGGAATGAGACAATGAGGATAGGGTTCAAAGTTGGTAAACTCATTGAATCACAAGTGTAGGCACGATCTGTCTCTTATACACATCTAGATGTGTATAAGAGACAGATCACAACCTTATCAAACCGACAATGGTGTGGTAGTCAATAGGGATAGAGAGCACCAGCGCTGACTCAAAATCGTTTGGAAATGAGACAATAAGGATAGGGTTCAAAGTTGGTAAACTCATTGAATCACACGTGTAGGGAGGAAGCACAGGTTATCAACTTGTTTGTGGCAAGGCACGATCACAACCTTATCAAACCAACAAGGGTGTGATAATCCCAGAGTCAACATTTAGAGAACATAGGAATGGGTGGAGAGTAATTGGTTGGGGGAAGGATAAGAGAGATAGGAAGGGAGGAAGGAAAAGAAGAGTAACAGGAAGGGTGAAGAGGAAGTGGAGAAGAAAGAGAAGGGACAAGGAGGACAGGTTTTTTCCACGAACTGAACGAAGCCGAGCCAGAGAGGAGGACGCAGCGGCAAGTCACTCCATCTACAAGAGGCAGCAGGCAGCGGAAACGTCCACAAAATTGGTGATCTCGAATATTTCGCTTGCCCCCCTTCCCCTCCTCCCCTCCCCCCAATATCCTCCCCGTCTCCTTTCATTGGTCGTCCTCCCTTCTACAGCCAGTAAAAAAAGAGAGAAACTAATTGAAAGCAAGACAATAATTGGAATACAGAATTTTTTTCACGATTAGATTTCTCACACAACAGGGAGGCTGATTAAGAAAGCATTCGCAAAAATAGGGAGAAATACGCAACCAATCCTTCTTCCAACCATTGAATAAAACTTAGAAGCACTCCACTCACACGAACCGGATTGGATTTCGATAGTGTAATTTTTTATTTTTTTTCTTTTCACCCTCATACCAATCAAATGAGTGCAATGAAGCTGGGATACAGGAAGGTACGTGGGAAAGAACCCCTCATATTTTACCAAGGGGCAATGAGGCACATGATGTTTAAACAATTGGGTCCCAGCCCATATGCTAGACCAATGGGCCATTTGAGCATCACCCCCTCAACGAAACCAATGCAGATAGACACTCCACAGACTCAAATGGGAACTGGGATTGGTACGCTGCTTACACCAAGGCAGTCTATGACCCATCCACAAACAAGAGGAGAGCAGAGGACAGGAATGACGAGTCAGGAGGGGACTGGTAGAATAAATGAACTCAATATCTGCAAATTGCTCGACAATTGTCCCAGGGGAAAGTGTTCACAGCCCAGAGTCTGGATCAGATGAACAGGGGGCGGTATCACCAGCACGAGATTTGATTATGAGGGAAGTGGAAGGGGAAATTCTGATAGAAGAAGAGAGAACCAACGAAAACAAGAGTTCGAGTCAAAATCTGGATTTCTCAAGTAAACAAATGCAGACAGAAAACGAATCAGAACAACCCACGTGGGCACAAAAGATTAACGATTCTGCGGCCACCAGTTAATGATTCAGGTCTGCCTGCGGAAGAACTGAAAGTTCCATTGGGGAACTTATCTTCGGCACGTGCATACTTCCTCACTCTGTTCTTGCTACCCTCTGAACAGAGAGTGGTGGATCACGGGGGAAGGAAGATGCTCATGAAATCATATCCGGCGGACAAACTTCCACAGAGGGATGCTATTTATACTAAACACGCCATCTCTCTACTTTGCGCTTCAAACGAGTGATGCTACAGGATAGCATACCGGATGAAGGAGGGTATTGCTTATTTGGGCATTACTCTAGGAGTAATCACTAGTGCTCTTCATCTTGCGACTTTTGGTGGAGGAGGTCGGCTCGGCGCGAGAAGAAGAAGAGTACAGTGTGTCCCGTGGAGTGGGGGGAGGATTGTCAGGGGATAGTGAGTGGGAGGGCTTCGAGGAAGAGAATCCAAGTTCCGTCAAGTGCTCTTTACAAGGGGGAGGCTTCTACTCGAATGATCGTCATTCTTTTTGCTTCATCTACATTGCATCTACAGGGCATATCATCATCGTATCATCAGCTTCAGCAGCAGCAGTATTGTCATCATTATCATTATGAGCATCTTTATTGGTGCGTCATCATCATTTTCATCTTCATCATCATCACCATCATCATCATCATCATCATCATTATCATCATCATCATCATCAGTAGCAGCAGCAGCAGCAATAGCAGCAGAAGCATTATTGATATCATCATAATCATCATCATGAGTATCATTATTGATTAATCTTCATCATCATCATCATCATCTTTATCATCATCATCATCATCATCATCATCATCATCATCATCATCATCTTTATCGATAACTTTTTGTTATCAGTAGACTTTGCTCTTCAAGGCTTCGTGTCGCTTTTCGTATCATCATCATCATTCCCGTTATCATTATCTTCAGGGTGCTATCCTTCGCCTCCAACAAAATCCAAGAGGAATGACAATTTGGTGAGAGGGTAGGGGAGAGCCCTGCCCYGCAGGGGTTTCATTAGGAGGGAGGTGGAATCCTGGAGGGGGTATGGGCAGAYTGTGAGGAATACTMTTTTCTGGGGCTGGGCATCAAATCCCAGCGGGGGMAGATTAGAGTAAAGGGATAGATAGGGTAATGGAGAGAATGGAGGTGTGCTGAAATTCTCGGCTATCATCATCTCATTATTGTTATATTAAGCTTTTTGGTGTTATGAAATTCTGGCTGCATCTCGTATTCTTCCACATCCGGGATATAGGTCTACAGAGATGGTTGAACCTGGACTGATATCTTTTGAGTTGCTCTGTTCTGAGCCCTTGGTTTGCCGATGCCAGAACGACGCTGGCCGGAGCTGGGGCGTTGCCCTGTAACCTGTAAATAGCAGGAGTGTGAGGCCTTGTAGAGAGATCTGGGGTTTGTTGAGGGTGGAAGGCATTCCAGTGGTGAACCGGGGGGGGCTGAAAGGAGGCGAGAAGAGATCAGCTATGATTGATGTTGGTCAGGTTGTTTCTGTCTCTGTAGTATAGTGTCCTGGTACAAGGAGGGCTAGGAGTTGTACTGGGATTTGGAGCCCAGAATAGCTGATATATCATCATCATCATCATCATCATCATCATCATCATCATCACACCATTAGTTTCATCATCTGATTATTGTTATATTAAGCTTTTTGGTGTTCAAAAGTTTTGGCAGCATCTAGCATTCTTCCACATTCGGGATATAGGACTTCAGAGATGGTTGAACCTGGRCTGATTTCAACTGAGTTGCTCTGTTCTGTGCCCTTGGTTTGCCGATGCCAGAACGGCGCTGGCCGGAGCTGGGGCGTTGCCCTGTAACCTGTTAATAGCAGGAGCGTGAGGCCTTGTAGAGAGATCTGGGGTTTGCT